AGGATATTGTTCCCTTCATGCCATCGTACCGGGCCAATCCAAAATCATGTCGGGCCCGATTTTACACCTCTAAGTGAAGTCCATATTTATCGAGTCCACCCCTCCGAAGAGCTCGTGACCAACATTGAACAATTGAGTAATAGATTAAACTTTCCAATAAATCAAATCCAAGTAATGCTGCAAGCCTATGTTTGATTTGAAGGAAAAGATAGGAAAATCGGGAAAGGAAGGCAAAAGTAGAAACACCTATACAAGATACGTAAAGACTTTCTTACTCTTTTCTCTTTTTCCTTCAAACCAAACACATCATTAAATTTCTACAAAATAATAAATTTGCCATTATTAAAAGGGAATGGGATCATTGGAGCGAATTTAAGGTATTAGGATCATTTAATGAAATTAATTAAATTTGAAACTTTGGGGTGTTAAACCCAATGCCACATGACCGTATAAATTCAGGTGCCTGGACTGTCAGTACGGCTTTATCCGATCAGAATATAAGAAATTCAACCGATCTGAATATCTATCTGTTGGATAATGTTTCAAATTTGATTTCGATCATCTTATTGGGTGTCCACTATCTTATTAATTGGACAGAGTAAAACCAAATTGGTTGGACTTTGTCCATTTACTGGGTCCATCCTCAAGTATAAGAAGCAGTAACAGCAGGGTTTTTCCTATTACCACCAATTCACGCCACACAGTATCTTGTTGCACTGGAGCGCGTGCCAGTGCAACCACAACCACCACACCAGGGGATGAGATTTGACAATCCACACGTGGTAGGTCCCCCTCATTAACTATTGGCAATATTGTGCCAAACCATCTCCACCCTACATTTTAAGCACTTGTATAAAGAAGACAATGACATGATAGTCTTCTTCTCACCCATGATAGTCATTTAAATGTACGTATCTGAATAATTGTTTCTTTTGGATAGGCATGAATAATTCATGTTAGGGGTGTTTTTATACAGTTTAGACCGTCAAATTAAATTAGAATTGGCAGTTTGGTTTGGTCTAGACTTATAAAATGGTCCGGTTCAATTTGTGATCATTTCATTTCAAATCTTCATTTTTATTTTTAGTTTCAGATTTTGTTTTCTGAATTTTAGGAAATAAATGTGAATTGTAATAATCAAGGAATGTAAACATTGGAACTAGTGAGAGTAAGTATTTATGCATATTGGGTATCGGTGGGTCCCAGGCCATATTCCAGATGTGTATATGATATGTATTATTGTGAATTTTTCAGACATTAATCTTCAACTCATCATTATATTTGATGCCAAGGGAATGCTACTGCTTCCCCTGGTTTACTCCAAGTAGTGGGACCACAACTCTCATAATTCCCCTAGTTTGAGTACACGTGAAAAAAGAATGATCCCACTAATTCCAGAGTACAATGGACGATAATTCTATATATTATACTGAAGAGTCAAATTATAAAATATGCCTTGACCGTTTACCGTTCTCAGAAAAGAATCTTTAAAAAATGGGAGGTGGGTTTAGAGTTGGCACCTCATTATTGTAGGGCATTCAGAAACTAAATAATCAGACTAAAAAAAATAAATCATGAGACCAAGCGAATGTACATATATATGACCATTCCCTCTAATCTATGGACTGTCGCATCATTGCTCCCTGTTATTGAAGACGGGCTTAAATTTTTGGGAGTGACGGCTCAGTTGAGAGTCAGAATCTTTAGGCCAAAGTACAATTGGGGTGGGTGTGGAATTGATATTAATTGATGGGCGGATTTTGGTGTAAAGAGTGGGGTTTTTGATATTTTGAATGTTTATATATATATCTGCATTAGAATTGAGAAATCTGAATTTGTCTTGTCTGTATTTTTTCGTAGATTCTTTTTTCTTTTTTTTAGGTTCTTAAGGCTACAAAGGGGGTAGTCATTAGACATGTTCATGGGTTGGGTGGCCCGATGGGCCAGCTCGGCCCCGGACGGGCTTGAACATACATTTGAGCCCGCAGACTTGACCTCGGGCCAAAAAGCCCAGCCCGTAATAACCCCGAACGGGTTAGGCTCGGGATTTTCCAAAATAGCCCGATCCAACCTAAAGGTTAAACCCAAAAACCTTAATATCCTAACTCCTAAGTAACCCCTCTTCCTCATTCATCTCTTTCGAGTTAGTCGAACTGTCGAGCCTCTCTTCTCTTCATAGTGACTCGCATCACATCCTCACACTCTCAGGCAACCACAGAACCGGCGAACATTCACCGACGCAACCAGTAAACTCCGACAGACCAGCGGTGAGTCTTCTCTCTCTCTCTCTCTCTCTCTCTCTCTCTCTCTCCTCTTCTCACTTCTTCTCTCTCAAATCTCAAACACCGGCAAGGCCACAAACACAGGCACCGGCGACGGCGGCGGCGAGTCCTCTCTCTCTCACTCTCTCTCTCTCTCTCTCCCTCATACGTGAACTGACTTCACTTTTCATTGTCAAAATCTTAGCTCACCAGCGAACATAGTCACCGACAATGAGTCCTCTGTTAGGTCGGGCTACGGGCTTCAGACTTTTTATCAAGGTCGGGTTCGGGCCTAAATTATAGGCCCGTTCGTCGGTCCAAGCTCAGGTTCAGGCCTAACAAAATCATGTTTATGAAGAATAAAAGCCCGGCCCAAACCCAACCCAGCGCAACACATGAACAGGTCTAATAACCATACCTCTCCCATAGCCCATTTAATGGAATTTAATGGCAGGTCTCTATTCAGATGATATGTTAGAGATCCTACCAGCTGAACCACCATCAGTTGGTGGGTGGGAATACGGACACATTGAAGTAGGAATCATTTAGTAAGGAGCCTTATAATTGGCCTGATCAGGTAATCTTGATGTTGTTGCCTAGCTTCCATTCCATGGAGTAATTAAATCGTAGAAAGGTAGCCTTGGTGGTAAATTATATTAACTGCAGGTGCAATTTTAGTTTGACATCTCGACTAGGTACGTACTTTGCCAACCTTTTTCTTAAAAATAAAGGGAATTGAAATATTCTCTCCTTTGTTATGGATGATCAAAGAAATGTAGCAAAAGATGTTACATCAAATTATCTGTCTCCAATTAAATTTATATTGCATATATTCTATTTCATTCTACTTATTTAATTTCATATTTTTAAGACATTTTTTCATAAATATAATCTAGTTTCATCAATCAATCAATACTATGTCATATTGACAAGAACTCCTCTAAATTACTTAGTCAATCTATTTGAGATAATTAATAGTGATAAATCTTTTAAATAAAAGGAAAAAAAAAACAAATTTGTTGATTCATACGTAAGAGGCTACTAGACAAAAGATTATCTGGATTTGATGCTTGCCACTATAAGTGTTGCAAAATAATTAATATCCATGTTTTTAACCATTCCAGAAAGAGTCAATATCCTAATTATTTGCTGTCTTTAGTGCCCGTTTGGTTTGTAGGAATAAGGATTTAGAATTGGAATCGGAATGGGCTATTCTAATTCCAACTGTTTGGTTGGGTGGAGTTGGAATCCCATTCCTATTATTGCTGGAATGGCATTCCCCCATTTGAGGGAATGGTCATTCCCTGCCCCTCCCTTGGGAATGAAATCTCATTCCTGCTGATTTTAATTCTCATTCTCATTCCTTTTTGAACCAAACAGGCTATGGGAATGGACCATTTCGATTCCGATTCCGGAGGATTTTGATTTTGATTCTGATTCCGATTCCGGCTATGAACCAAACGGACCCTTAGTTTTGAAAATCTTCATGACATATGGGGTGCCTACAAAGTAAAAACTGATTTATTTGGATTAGTTGAAATAATATTTTGCAGATTTTATGATTATTGGCCTTGGCACGTAAATTACAGTTTCAGCGACTACCACGCCTTTAATGGGAAATCTTTTTTTTTTGACATCAATGCCCCTATTTTTGCATTCCGTGCAACTTTAATTGCTTGTGAGGGTATAAAATGTAATTTGAAGTACTATTTTATACCTCATCCAATTTACTTTCATTAATAGTCATACCTTTAATGTATTTTACCTCATCAATAAATTCCACTAATTAGATCTATATTCAATACTTTTAACAATATTAAATTCATATTTTTTTTGAACTAGACCCAAAAATGGAACCATTCCTCTATTGAAGTAGTCGTTAAGCAATTCAACCATCTATATACCCATGATGTCATATATAATAATAAATTTTTTAAAATAGATAAATAAAAAATCTTAAAAATATAGAAAAATTAGGTATATCTCTAATATTTTATACTAATAATATTAAAAAGTATGATCAACAACAATTGTTTTTATTGATAATGGAAATCAAATTGTTTTCTTAGTTGGTGGCTGACCAACATTTCATCCTTTTGGGACAAATGTATCAACCCTTAATGCCATAATTAAATAATAAAAATTAAGAAAAAGATAAAAAAATTAAAAATTATAAAAAGTTGCAGAAAATAATAAGTATAATAAATAAGAATAATTTTTATACATAAAAATTTTAAAAATTTAAAAAAAAAAATTGGTCTTAAAAATACCATCATCATAAAAAATTGCCACATGCAAAGCAAGTCTTTACCAATTAGACACATTGAATAAGCACTCAATAAATTATGTAACTCATGTCCCATAAATACCCCTACCTACCCTTAAAGTAACTCAAGGATTTAAATATGATACCAGAAAAAACTTAATAGCAATCGAGTGATTTTCATCAAAATTCACCAAAAGGGGGGCGGGGGGTTGATTGATCAATATCATGTCTTTCCAGCATCATAGGTTCTCCATAATTCAAATAAACTTCTAGGGTGTTAAAATATTATTGAGTTTTGTGTCAACATGTCCAGTGGGCCACTTTCCACTATCTAACATTGTCTTACCACAATCACAATTTTAATTTTTCTTCTTCAATAGAGTTGTTGCTAAAACTGCTTGGGAAATATTCAATACTAATGGACAATGCATGGGCTGCCGATCAATATTATAAATATATATGCACCATTCTCCAACACCCTATCTCAACTCAGAGCCTAAGTCTCCGGTGTTTCATGTTTTCAACTATTCTCACATCTCTTCTATGGCTCTGCAGCTGAGAAAACTTGGTCTCTAGCCTTCAATGTTAACCATTGAATCCATATATCTTTTTCACTACTTGCAGAGCCATTAAATGCGCGGTCCACACAAATAGAGCCTTAAATTTTCTTCAGCATCTCTGGTAGGACGGCATACGTAGCTCTCAAAGTTCCCCCAAACACTTCAAAAATCCATGTGCTCTATGGACAAGGATGCTTGTGATTTCCAAGAGCAGCTTGACATTGAGAACAACAGTCGAGCTGTTAGGACTCATTGGGTGCTGAACGCTCCTGACCCACCAGGTTTAGGCCATGAGCTCGTGGGCACAATTAAGAAGACTGTTTTTCCTCGTAGAAACAAGTCATCTTCTTCATTCAGTCAGAAACTTGGATCCCGATACGCTGTGTCACTCTTGCAGGGCCTATTTCCAATCCTTGAATGGGTTCGGAATTACAAGGCAACTAAGTTCAGGAATGATTTGATGGCAGGTTTAACTCTAGCAAGCCTCAGCATTCCACAGGTACACAAACTTGATAACAGAATTCTGTCCGGTGTTTTGCTACTACTGCTCTATTTTGTGTTATTGTTTCATCAATACTATGATTCCCAATTTCTTGCAGAGTATTGGATATGCTAATTTAGCAAGGCTTGATCCTCAGTATGGGCTCTGTAAGTAGCTTGTTCTAAGTTAATGATGTTTTAATTTCTTTCTTTCAATTCAATTTACGAAGGCATCTTAACAGAGCTAATTTAGTTTAAGCATGAGGGGCTGGCTGTCTACAAAACTGCAGATTAGGAGCTTCACCATGGGTTTAATATGAGTATGTGATTTGGGCCTTTTCTTTTCAGATACAAGTGTTCTCCCGCCTCTTATTTACGCTCTTATGGGGAGTTCAAGAGAGATAGCCATTGGACCTGTGGCAGTGGTTTCCTTGCTAATTTCATCCATGATTCCGAAACTAGTAGATCCCGTGTCTGATCCCATTGCTTACAGAGACCTTGTTTTCACTTCAACTTTCTTTGCTGGTGTCTTTCAAGCAGTGTTTGGATTGTTCAGGTGGTATTCTTGATCAAGTGTTATGTCTTGATATATAGTTCTGCCACCATGTTTAACTCAGGAAACAAATTACTTCGTTTGGGATTCTGTAGGTTGGGTTTTCTTGTGGATTTCCTCTCACATGCTGCCTCTGTTGGGTTCATGGGAGGTGCTGCAATTGTCATAGGTCTGCAACAGTTGAAGGGACTACTAGGAATCAATCATTTCACAGACAAAACTGATGTCATCTCTGTTGCAGAAGCTGTGTGGCGATCTATCCATCATCCAGTAAGGAGATATTAATACTGTTTTCTTTTATGACATCTAAGATACATCATCCGATGTCAACTTTCATCTGCTTCTTTTATACCAGTGGTCCCCCCTCAACGCTGCGCTTGGGTGTTCATTCCTGATTTTCATCCTAATGGCCAGATTCCTGGTAAGCAGCATCCTTCCTCCTAAGTACCTTCATCATTTACCCTTGCTGTCCATGATGTTTTTATTGAAATTAATATGAAAATCCTTCTATGTTCACAGGGCAAAAGGAACAAGAAACTCTTCTGGTTACCATCTATTTCTCTTCTCCTCTCTGTTATATTATCCACTCTTATAGTCTTTCTGACGAGAGCAGATAAGCATGGAATCAAGATACTAAAACACATAAAAGGAGGCATCAATCCAAGTTCAGCTAAGCACTTACAGCTCAATGGCCCAAATGTCGGAGCAGCTGCCAAAACTGGGTTGATTTCTGCAATTGTAGCTCTCGCGGTGGGTGCTTTTTAATCATGGTCCTGCACTCCAGTAAAGAATACTTGCCCTCATCTCTCTTATTTTCTGTCAAACCAAACACAGCATTAGTGATTTGGGTGGCCCCATGAAGTAAGGGCAATGGAAAGTAAGATGGTATATCAATATTTCTGCTCCCAAAGTAGAAATAAGGTAATTAGGTAGTTTGTGATCCAGTTACCAGGCTTCTCTATTCTAATAACTGGACTTGGACAGTTGGACTAGAATTCTAATTAACAAAGCCAAAGAGGGTCTATTTTATATTATTCCTGCACTCATTACAAATTCTCCTATATTAAATTGCATGCTTTCTTGTAGTTCAAAAGAAAGGAAAAGCTCTATGCTGTAACTTTTTTTGTAACAATTACTTTTAGGAAGGCATTGCTATTGGGAGATCATTTGCATCCATTAGAGGGTACCATCTTGATGGGAACAAGGAAATGGCTGCCATGGGCTTCATGAACATTGCAGGCTCCTTGACTTCATGCTATGTAGCAACAGGTGATGAGTGTTCAACAATAGTATAACTAATCAGATGGGATAACCATTGGACACCGAGTACCAACCGTTTGATATAAATACTGCAGGTTCATTCTCGCGCACTGCTGTTAATTTCAGCGCGGGCTGTGAAACAGGGGTGTCAAATATCGTCATGGCAGCCACAGTATTTCTATCACTGCAACTGTTTACTAGGCTCTTATATTACACTCCTACTGCCATCCTTGCTTCAATTATTTTGTCCGCGCTTCCTGGACTCATCGACTTCAATGAAGCTTACAATATCTGGAAGATCGACAAACTAGACTTCCTTGCTTGCATTGGAGCTTTCTTTGGAGTGTTGTTCGTATCAGTGGAGATCGGTCTTCTTGCTGCGGTATCATTTTCTTCAATTCCCATTAACAAATAAAACAATATGAACCTCATATTGATCTTTGTGGGTGGGGTCAATGATTCCACCCAAAACATCCACCTGCAATGGTAGGACCTGATGCAGCATATATGGATGATTGTGTTCTTTTATTTTTAATGTAGGCAAAAGTACTGTAAGTGGATATACCAGTAGACAAAGGCAGGCTACCCTGTCAACGTCCAATTCGGTGGCAACTGGGATTTAAGATTACTTGAGGTTGAGGGTTAATTTTAGTTGATTTTCTTTATTTTCCGGATTGAAGTAACACCCAGCCAACCTCTTGTTGGCATAGATTTCTTCTAATACCAATCAGAGAGTCAAAATTCGATCCGTATCTTATAGATGAGCATTTTTTTAAGATTGTGGGTTGATCATGGTAGGGACACTGCAGGTAACCATATCCATTGGGAGGATCTTACTGAATGCCATTAGACCAGGCACGGAGGTTCTCGGAAAGCTTCCTGGAACTGATGTTTTCTGCAGTACCAATCAGTATCCTATGGCTGTCAAGACTTCAGGCATCTTGATAATCCGCATTCATTCTGCCTTCCTTTGTTTTGTCAATGCCAATTCCATCAAAGAAAGGTAAAATTCATTCTCTGTCTGTTTGTGTTCTGTGTGTGTGTATGAGAGAGAGAAGAAAATTTATTTAATTACAGTTTTACACCATTCTGTTACTTGTGCTTGTATCAGAATAATGTTGTGGGTGAATAAGGAAGGGCAAGGAGAAGAAGAAGATAAAAAGGCCAAATCGAGGACTCAAGTATTAATCCTTGATTTGTCTGGTAAGTTCTGCCTATAATCTATATATATCGTCAGATACCCATTTCGGTTTATTACAAAATGAATAAAATCAGAATTCAATATATTTCTGAGTGGCCAGATTTGGGTTATATGTGGTGACAGACTTGATGAATATCGATACATCGGGAATCCTTGCATTAGAAGAGCTTCACAACAAGTTGGTTTCCCTGGGTATACAGGTACTTAATTCACGTCGCAACCTTGTAATTTATGATAGATGATGTTCATTTAGTATAATTACTACAACCCACAACCATTATAATAAATGCAGTTAGCAATTACCAACCCATGGTGGTACGTGATTCACAAACTAAAGTCGGCCAACTTTGTCAACAAAATTGGAGCAACGTCGGTCTTCCTCACCACCGTCGAAGCCGTGGATGCATGCGTTACCTCTAAGATGGTCAATCCTTAATTATTTGGAGCGCTCCAAATAGTTATGTATTTGGTGGTTTGTGTGTATGTATGTATGTATGCAAGGAGTATCTGCATTGTAATTTGTGTGTGATTGTGTGTGTAAAGCTTAATTTATATATATGTTATGTATTTGGTGGTAATTGTATGGATAATCACATGTGTCATATAATTAAGTTGAAATATAATACCACCCAATGCTCTTTTGTTGGGTGTTCTGTTTTGTCTCAATTTGTGGGCTTTTTTAGGTCCTGTTCCCTTTTTGGAAAGTTAGTTAGGTAGTGTTTGAGAACACTTAAAAGAAGTACTCATTTAAATAAGTACTTTTAAGACATGGGATCGCACATTAAGTGATTTTTAAGTATTTATGGGTGTTTGGTAAAAAAGAGGGTAAGAAGTATTTGTTTTTAAAGAAGCACTTATTTAAAAAAGTGACTTCAAGTTAGTTTTTTTTTCAGTATTTTTTAAAGAAATACTTCTCCAAAAAATGGGACGAACCAGCCCCTAATATTTTCTTGTAATACTTAAAATACCCCCACTCTCATTCTCTCATTTTTCTCTCCCTCTTTCTCCTTGTCTCTATCTCTCCACCAACACAACGTCGACGGTCGATGTACCAGTCAGCGATCGGTGTACCAGCTAGCAGACGGTGTACCAACGACGTCAGCGACTGGGGTACCGGGCCATCGATGACAGAAACAGTGCTGACCTTGAAATGGGATCCACGTGGACTCTCAATTAAAATATGTATATATATATATATATATATATACGAGTAAAGTGAGGGCTAAAATTGTCATTTGTGTCAATATAAGCACTTATGGGAAAAGTAGCTTACCAAACATCCCCACCCCAATAAATGCTTAAAAACATAATAAGTGAAGTAAAAAGTGGGTTACCAAACAACCTTAAGCGGTTGTTAAAATAAATACTTCTAAGAAATACTAACAAGTACTTAATCATCAAATAGGGTCTTACCCAAGTAAATGCATTTATCCAGTTAAATGTTCTTTCATTTCCTAGGTAAAGAAGGCAATGGCCGTTTTTATCATAAAAACCATTATTAAAAGTGTCAATTTTGTCCCATCCAAATATTAGCACCTTCCCCTAGGTAGGAAAATTACTTATCCACCTAAAAGTTGACCCAACATCAACAACAATTGATCCACGCCAGGTTAAGAAAAAAACATAGCGGATAACGCTTCCATGGGAAGACGAGGCAAAGGCCAAAGGGAGTGAGGAATGGAGAAAACAATATCCTGGGCCCAGGCCCAACCCGATGACGGAAGCCCAACTTCTCTCATCCAAGCCCCAAAAGTTCTTGAGTTTTCTTCTTTTTTGCACCCCTCTTGCCCATTGATTTTATTTTTAGTTACACCAAATTTTTAATTAGTATCATATTAATTTTTGAACCTGGATCCATTCCCCCTGTATGTCTGATCACTCTTTTGCATACTACAATCTTCCAACACTTTGTATTGATTATTTTTTTCTGTTTTTTTATTAATATTGGGTGGGATCAGAGATAGAGAGAGAAATCTCTTGTATCTAGGTTTGGGGCAAAGCGGTCTACATCCTCCCCTATTTTCTTTCAATTATTTGGGTTATTTTAATAAAATCTTAAAGAGGCCAACCCTCTGCTAGAATAAAGTTTGGAATTATATATATATATATATATATATATATATATATATATCATATTGACTTTATCTGTAATGACAAACTATTTCTCCTTTTTCCTTTGATAATGTTTTCTTTATAAAAAACTAAAGAAAGCTAGGAAAGCACTATAATAGTGGTAAACGAAAGAAATAGAAATAACTGTAATTAGTTTTGGATCACATGGACATCCTAGAGGCTCTTCTATATTAGGGCTCTTCATGCGTTGGGTTGGGTCGGTTTACTAGTGTTTTTCCAATCGATCTGATCTGGCTGGTTTACCTAGAAATGAAATCGAAACCGACCCAGTATTAAGTAAAATTGACCTGGTCGGTTTTGTGAATGATTCTCTCGGTGTGAACGGTAAAAGATTCAAGTCTAAGAAAGCAAAGGTCGAATGCCTAGAAATTAAAAATGATTTGATGGATTAAAACTGATATTTTATATATCAGAAATTTTATATATAATATGTATATTTCTGTAATAAAGCTGTATATATATTATATTATTATATATTATATATTATATATAATATATATCTAAGTCAGTTCGGATCGATTTGAAAACTGAAACTGAACCGAACCATCGGTTTATATTTTTTTGTAACCCGAAACCGATCGATGGTGAAGAAAAATCGGCCAACTCGAATTGGATCGAACTGGATTGGTTGGTTTGATCAGTATGAATCTTGTTATGAACAGCCCTAATCCCGATGAACAGCTTTTAGATGAGTGGCACAACAGTTTCATGTGAAAAGATCACTTGGAGCCGTGAAAAGGTCTAGGCCCACTTGCTCCTCCTACCATATTTGAAGATGCAAATTTCAACTTTGAACTGCTCACTGTCATAATCATATTAGTGGGATTTAAAGGTGAAGTAGATACAGAGACCATAAAATGCTGGCCACATGATCCTACAGTCATACGAGTTCGGAACTCCTTCCTCTCAACCAAAATCCCTTCAGATCCGTTCCAACATGATCCGTATCGGCACGTCTCATACACGATGGATCCCACACCCGTCTTATGGTGATGAGATATGCCGATTCAGATTTGCTCCTCATAGAATGCTCTTCACACCATCTCACAGGTGACACACATCATGTTGGAATTCTTTTTTAATAGGAGATCCCATCACCAGTCGCACATGAGGAATATCTCATAACTTTTGGGGGTATTTTTTTTTTAGATTTTGAGGGGGAAAAGTTGGTCAATAAGATTTTGGTTTCCACTGATCAAGAATCTTATGGTCTTTTTTCATATTTGTGGGACCAGAAAAAAGTGGATAAATAATTTTCCCACTTGAGAGAAAAGTTGCCAACACTTTGGGACAAAAATGCCCCTTAATAATGGATTTTAGGGTTAAAATGGTCATTTGTCTTATTTACCTAAGAAATAGAAGAATATACATAAATGCACTTACCTGGGCAAGTGTTTCCTAAGAAAAAATTATCCAAGTAATTATATTTACGCAGATAAGGAACTTACCAAAAATCTAATGCTTGTTGTCAATCATGGGATGACATACCCTGGGGTGCAACTTAGTAAAAGGGGAGCTATCCCAGGTGTGTTTATCAATAATAAATAACGATTTCATTTCTCAATACAGAACACAATTGAAGGGTAAATGAATGAAAATATACAGAGGAAACATCTAGGGAGAGAATCACATATTCACATTTCATGAATTTGTGACTTTGGTTCAGCACGGAGCACCAAGCTCTATAGAGAGTGAGAGGAAATCTTAGCACGAGTCTCTAGTCTGTATTATATTGAACGAAGCCGATGTCCACTTCCAATTTGAGAGAGACGCTCACCAGAGATGACACAAGGTATTTCTGCAATTTTCATCTTCCTCTCCGATTTGACAACTGTTGTATTGCTAACAATGGAAGGGGATGAAATCTTGAAGCCTCTTCCTTGTTCATCTTAGTACAGAATGAGAATGCTTGAGGAAGTTACTAAGTGGTGGTTTCTCGTAGGCCTTGCATGGGAGATCCTTTATTACTCTGTCCGTCATCTGTTATTTCATCGAGAATTCAACTTTAAGCATTAATTGTTAACTGAATAGTATTTTAGCTATGAAGAACCATTGCTTATTGAAGAAGAAGAATACGGACCTTTCCAAATCTTCCAGTTACGTAAGGAACTGCTCTGTGGTGCCCAATAGAAGTAGGAGGAGATCTTCTGCTCGTTTCTTCCCCATATGACAACCTTCCGTTGCTTCTGCTCCTTGTTGTTACAGTTGGGGAGCCCTGGGAATTACCAGCCAACACATTTGGGAGGCTTGACTCCTAAACAAACCGGTCGGTGAGATTAAGATTAATGGAGTTACCTTGTTCCAAGTTACTTTACAAGGAAATTTAAAACAGACCCAAAAAAAAAAAGCAGAAAGTAAAATTGTCCATATATAATATATTTACCAGAAACAAAACAGTTGCACAGTGCTTGAGGACCTCCAGGTTCATCCGGACATCTTCGAGGCTCCTGTCAGGCAGTTGCCGCAGTTAGAATTTAAGGAGAAGTCCCACAGTAATAGTATTGTTTGCTTCCTATATATGTCAAAGTTGTAAATGTGCATCCATATTACCTGTGCTTTTGCTGTCCAAGCCCAAAGTACGCAGCCAATGTCGCCATCTAAAGAAGAGATGAAGAAGTCAAGCTCGACACTTATTAATTTAAGCCTATATTTATGGGTATTAATGAAACAAAGCGAAAAAACTTGAACAACCATAAATATTTTGAATCTTGTGCATGGCTACTGACTAGCTAAGGGGAATAAACATTACACTACAGTCGTTCATTCTTTGCTTCCACTTTGCCCACATTTTCATTCTAAAAATAGGATCAAAGTGCAACATTCAATTGGGTTTTAGGCCCATCGTCGTTAACCATTTTCTCATGTCAGATACTGATAAGCAATTAAGCATGTATGTGGTTAATTAGACGTCAGACCTACCTTCATGTTACCAGCTCTCCGGCCGAATTTCTGAGTCAGGATTCCCAAGGAATCCATCACACCGACGGGCACGGGAGCAGGGCGTCCAATGTCAGCGAAAGCCTCCTTGATACGGGCACAGTCGAATCTCTGGATGTTATGTCCTGCCCATATTCTACCATTCAAGATACCAAATATCTTATCGGCGACGTCCTCGAAAGTGGGTGCAGTCGCCACCACTTGGCGGGTAATCCCGTCACTTCGCCCTGACCTCAGTGCAACCGCAGAGAGGTCTCCGGGTCTTATCAGAGTACAATAGCTTTCCAGTTCAATGAGCTTCCGTGGGCAGACCACAATTGCTCCGAACTCTAGCACCCAGAACCGTTGTCCAGCTCTGCCGGGCACTGTCGTTTCTAAGTCGAAGAACACAATCTCTGCCGCACCTTCACCGCTGGAATTAGGAACCGCCATTTCTTTCCCGCCCCTGTTGTCGTCATCATGAGGTTACTTATAAAATGGTCAAGGAGACGAGGACGCAGAAATGGAAAGCAGCATCGGTGGATATTCTTCTTGAGTTAGATTGTCTTGCAGTTCAAGTCAAGAGTTTGATCGCAGGAAGGCGTCCTTAGCTTAGCTTCTCGGAGATGTATTGTGCGAGAGGAAAACCGAAACCAACTGCAGTTAGCGAGGAATAGCGACAGCAAACAAAAAGAGAGGCATTTGGTTTAAAACAAGATTCCAGCTTAATTACTTGGCCCATTTGGTTTCCCGGCCGCTTTTAGTGAGGGCTGCTCCTGGTACATGTGAAGCAACAAAAAAAATACTTCTTCCATGCAGGAATCGATTCCACATCCACTCGCGAGTGTTAACTTTCAAAGGATGCAACATGAATCTGTACATGCACTCCAGTCCTGCCAAAAAGGTTTCATTTGGCTTTCTTATCAGAACTCAGGGGATCTTTCATGGGAGCGGGGAGCCAAGGAACTCACTCACCGTTAATATTGCCTGACAAGGGGTATTCAGGTAAATGCACAAGAGATGTGAATCTTTAAACTTGGGATACACATCTAGCATCTTGAGCTTGTGACTTTGTAACGATTGTGAGGCTGTGAGCATTCGTTATAAACATCCCAAAATTGGAAGAGGAAGAAAAAATAGAAGACATTTTTTAACTCTTGGACTAATACAGAGAGATTAATACATACGCCCTTACAATTATCTAATCTCATTCCAATCATAATTAGTACATAGTGCATAGACTTGATACAAAGACATCAATAGTGAAAACAATTCCATCAAAGGAATTTTTCCAATCAAGCAGGAACAGGACGCTTGAGTAAAGCCATTGCTCCCTTGATTCGCTCCATGGCTGCTTGCAGTGTGGAAAGGGATGCCGCATAGGAGATACGGATGCAGTTGTCATCTCCAAATGCATCTCCAGGGACGAGTGCAACCTGTGAAATCAGCCACCAACCAATTCCTAAATAACTCAAGACATTGGTTCAGGCATATATTCCGAAGCCTGATGAACTAGGAAGGAATCTCAATATGAAAAACACTGAGGAAGCAACATCTGGATTTAATAGGACCCACTTACAGATTCATTATATTGACCCAACAGGATGAGTAAGTGACAGGATCATCCTCAATTGGATCAATTTTTCTACCATAGTAGACCCCTTAAGATGCAAATAAATCAGTCCTAACTACTATCCTATTGCACATTTGCCATGGAAAGCAATAGATGACTTGTTACACCTCTCATTGTTATTGTTGTGGTGGCTCAGTTGGCATGTAAACTGAGTAGTCCCAGCTTAGATGCGGCTTCGAGCCCCACTATTGGCTCTCACCACCTTTGAGAAGAGTTATTAATGTTGCTAGAAAAAGTAGTGTACTATGCCAAGTAAAATTGAAATACGGCCCCCATGGGGGCAAAAAGGCGAGTGGTTCAATACCAAAAAAAAATTATTGTTGTGGTCATTTATCATTATCAAATAACAATACAACCAATACCTGTGCTTTATCCAGCAGATATCGACAGAGGGAATCAGAACCCTTGATGAGACCAAACCCCTCAACCTCTGCTCCATAGTAGGAACTGAAATCAAGGAACAGGTAGAAAGCACCCTGCAAATTCAAAGGATTTTCAACTGAGAGACAAGTTTTTACATACATGGCTAAAAAGGGACAGAATACAAATTGCTACCTGGGGCTCTGAAATCTTGACACCCTCCAATTCTTTAAAGCTCTTGACTAAGAAATCCCGCCGCTCCTGGAATGCTTTTACCATTGTAGAGACTGCCTCCCCTCCAGCATACCCCAATCCTAAAGCAGCAACCCCTGCTTTCTGAGAAATACTGCTAGCACCAGATGTGAACTGGAACAACATCATGAATCAGTGAAACCAGGAAAATTTTGCATTGTACAGGAAAAGACTCAAAATAACCAAGCAGGACTTGTCACCCTCTCAGTATACCTGACTGAGGTTCTGCAGAAAGTATGGCTTTAGCTAGGTGAAAACTAGAGAGAGACTAAGAGAAGCATAGAAAACACTATACATGAGAAATGTCTGCACTTAAGGAAGGGCAGAGCCCTAGTTAACCTTTTTTTTTCGGTAATTGCCCTAGTTAACTATGTCATATAGGTGATGGATATATATGTGGCTGGGTCCCCTGTGAGTTTCTTCTATGCAAAAATTGGCCCAAATCCAACCCGTGTTTTAAAAGCATGCAAGGGGCAATTTGCGCCTGGGCGCAAGGTGCAAGGCACAAGGCAAGGCGCACACCTTTTCAAAGCAAGGCACAAAATACAAAAAATCCAAAAAATGCAAAAATTAAAAAAAATATATATTAAACATAATATTAATAAAAATATAAACTTAAATTTTAAAATAAATATTTTAAAAAACCTATTATCTAAAATTAAAATACATAAACATAACATGTAAAGTGTATTCAACTTTAAATTTAAAAATAAAATCAAACATATAAAACATTTTCAAGCATGTAAAACCCACGATTTCTTTTTGTTTCCTTGATTGCATTACTTCAAATAGCTAATATGATGTAAAACATCTTGCATTCTTGATTCTACAAGCTGCCTTTGTACCAAGCCCCCTCGAGGAAAGCCCAAACAAATCCATGTTGGGGTCTTAAGGTAGGTTCGAAAAAGAATAAAAAGCGCAATAAATAAAAAACATGCATGCCTAGGCTGAAGCACAATGCTCACAAGGTGCACCATGCATGTGCACCTTTTGAAAGTGCTGCGCCTGGGGCCTAGGAAAGGCGCATACCTTAAAATGTGCCTTGCCTGAGCGCCTAGGCATGCCTTTTAAATCAATGTTCAACCCATAGAACCATTTGGAAAGTTGACCATAAATCTGTCTCCAAAGAATGCAATCAAAGGTATGGACATCCGCATCCATTTTGGAAAACCTATTATTTTCTTTTATTTTTTCCGGCCAAAAAGTACTCAGAGTAGGATCCATCAGATGGCTGGGGCCTCCTGATCCCTGAATGCATCTCACATGCTAAGGGATCAGACCCACCATTTGATGCAACTAATCCGATAGATCTTATACTCCAGAGAGCAGTTAAAGAATGTCATTACTGCTCTAGACAAGCCACTGAGTAATCAAGGTCACTACAGTTGGTGAAATCACAATAATAGGTGAACATTCAAAATGAGATGCATACCTGGCTCTGGATTTTCCCACATGCTGCAACAAAGTGTTTTGGACCAGCTAGGTATCCAAGACGCCAGCCAGTCATCGCAAAGGCCTGTAAATGTCCATCTTCAATCATTAATACTCACAAAGGCAACTTATCCATTTCAATCCAATTTCAGGTCACCAAATTTTGCATAGAGCAAGAAATGATACAGATAAGTTTTAAAAGTTAGTGCTCAGCTTGCAATGGGTATTGGTCACTGCAAAATCATGACAAAATCAAGGTAAGAAGCCACAACAACGTATGAATACATAACACAGGTAAATTACCTTGGAAAAACCATTGACTGTCAAAGTTCTCTCCCACATGCCCGGTAAAGAAGCAAAACTTGTGTGAGTTGCTGGTGCATAAATAATATGCTCATATATCTCATCAGACAAAACCTGATAGACAAAAATAAAAGAGTATTAGTTAAAATGTTAAGGTTAGATGAATAAATAGAGAGCATAATTTTGTTCAATTTTTACTAAGGTTATTGATTCATGATCCTACCAGAAGCCTAGGATGCCTTGCTACAATATCGGCAATCTCCTCAAGCAGTTTTCTCGGATAAACAGATCCAGTTGGATTGGAAGGGGAACAAAGAATCAGCAGCCTTGACTTTTCAGTGAGTTTGGATGCAAGAAGCTTTGGGTCTAAAAGAAAATTCTCAGATATCTGTGTCGGTAGAACTACAGGTGTTGCATCCGCCAGCCTTGCCATTTCCGGATAGCTTACCCAAAATGGAGCTGGAATTATAACCTGAAGCAAAAAAAAATTATTGCGATACACCTTTTTAGGTTTCAAAATTTTATCATTAGAATAGTAAACTTTAAATTTAATAAAGAAAAGGTTTTACAAAGTATGTATGCAGCACTAGTTTTCTTCATAATTTTACATATTAAGTCTCTAGGTCTGTCATCGTGGTTTTGACTGGAAAGGATGCTCAGATACAAGCAATAAAACTATGTCAAGACAAACCTAGAAAAGTGTGATCTTCAAAACATATTCTCTTTGGTAGTCAGACACCCTACTACGTGGATGGTTTGGGAATGGATACATTCTTTTACTAATATTTCACTTTCCATTTTAAAGTGGTTGAGTTTCTTGCCTCATCAAATGGCTATTATTAAGTATTAATACTAACAATATTCAATTGGGTTACACACATAGTTGTCAAGGCAACACCTAGGCAACAAGGCACCCTTGGAGGCTTGCCTCATCTAATTGCCAAGTAGTTTTGTACATTGTGCTATAAAATACTTTTATATTCTTAATGTTTTGAGATTGTAATTATAAAATAGACATTATTAAACTAAAATACTCATTTTGTGTGTTTATATACTAATTTCTTTTTTATTATTTTCTTATTTGTTAGGGTTTAATCAACACAAACATTGCTAAATGCTGTATTGGACCAATAAAGTACGCTTCTAGGAGGATGTCTGGCTTGGGGACACTCCTCTTAAAGACAGATATCCACCCATCTATTCCTTGTCCCTCAACAAAAGGAAGAGTGATTTCTTCAGTGCTTGTTAACGAAAACTCTTGGGATCTAGGATTAAGGAGAGGGTTAAGGAAATCTGAAATGGGCCTAGTAGATGATCTTATCTCCCTTCTTAATACTGCTTTCTTGGACCTCTCTTGTTAGGACAGTAGGATTTGGTCAAAGTCTCCTTCTAGCTCCTTTACCTATGCCCCCTTTTTTCTGCCCTCCTTCAATCCTCGCACCTAGGAGGCTCCTTTCCTACAAAGGAAGTCTAGTGTAATCCTGTACCCCCAAAAATAAGAGCCTTTTGCTGGGAGGTGGTGCTCCAGAAAATCAATACTCTAGATAATTTACAAAAAAGGAGGTCGAATTACTATCTCTCCCCTCATATTTGTTGCCTCTGTTTGGGATATGGTGAGATAGTAACACATCTTTTACTTTCTTCTCCCTTTGCTTCTTGTGTGTGGAGTTGGTTTTCTTCCTTATTTGGCTAGGTGGACCCCTCCCCCGGATGTGACAAGTCTTTTCAACCCAAGTTTTTTCCTACTACTAAAGAAAAGGGGAAAAGTGATGTGGAGGGCAACAAGTGTAGCCATTCTTTGGCCTTTATGGGAGGGAAGAAATAATAGAATATTCCAAGGAGCACAAAGATCAAAAGAACAAATCATTGACTGTGTAGCCATTAAAGTCATACATTGGCTGAAAGTTAGTGACTTATTTAAAGACTTTTCAGTGGATGATATACAAAGGGGTTGGTCAACAGTGGCAAACTCTTCAACCAGATAGCCTATTCTTCAGCCTTATTGGACACCTACAGCACAACAAAAGGGTAAAATTGAACTTTGACGGAAGCTCCATGGGTAATCCAGGACCCTCGGGAGCTGGGGGAGTCTTCAGGGATGGGGAGGGCAGAATGGTGGCACTATACTCTGGTCCCATAGGAGTGGGAGACTCTTTGAGAGCTGCAATTTTGGCTCACCTACAAGGCCTAAGATTTGCCAAGCAATGGAGATTTCAGAACTTGGAGGTGGAAGGGAACTCTAAACTGTTAATAAGGTGATTGCAAACAAAGAGGTTGGGTGTATGGAATTTTAGACAGCAAATAAGGGAAATAATCTGCTTGGCAAGGGAAGCTGGAGTAATTTTCAAATGGGTAAGGAGGTCAGCAAACTATGTGGCAGATAGCTTGGCAAAGCAGGGGACATTTAGGGAAAACTTTTTTTTGGGCTGTACTGTTATACTTGAAATTGTTTGTGGTCAACACTCTTTGTCTGAGTGGTTGAGAGTGTAAGATGTTACCGTTTCCAATCAAAAAAAAAAAAAAAAGTCTTCAAAACCAGAACAAATAAGTAAGGAAGAACTTAAAACTTTGTCTAATCAACTCATTTTCTTCTCTATATTTTTGTGAATTTTCTTTTCTTTCTTCTTTTTCTTCTCATGAATATGTTGATTTTCTATTAAGAAATATGGAAAATATGGAAAGTATACTTTTCTTATGAAAATTATGGATTATTAAGGAAACTACCCTAGGATACATGTTTTTTACTTCAAAAAATTCATCGCCTAGGCAACAAGGCACCCTTCCCCCCCCCGTTGCCTAGCCTCACCTTAGCAATCTGAAAACTATGGTTATACAAGTGCATTATTATTACTATCATCATTTTACAGATTACTAGAGGCCATCACTTGGTGCAGTGGTAAACTCTCAGCCTGAAAAGCATGAGGCAATAGTTTCAACTTTCAAGCCTGAGAGTGGCCACTTTGTGGAAAAGAATGCCAAAGGTTAGGTCTGTATCCAGTCTATCCCTCGCAAGATCCCAAACAGCCAGAAACACCAATGGGTGATGGCCATTGTACAGATTACTATTTACTAACAATTTTTCTCTATACCCTTTCCTCACTGTATCCAGTCTATCCCTCCCAAGACCCCAAACACCCGAAACATCAATGGGCGATGGCCATTGTACAGATTACTATTTACTAAGAAATTTTCTCCATACCCATTCCTCACGTCACGTGACATTGCAATGTTTAGTATCGGTTAGTTAGATAAAGATCCATTGTCTTCTATCAATCATCCCAAGGAATTAACTTTTACCAAATATAGGAGATTTAGACAGTAATTCTGCCTCGTTTGCCCATGGTAAGTATTGGCAGAAAAGCAGCGGTGAGTATGAAGATAGAATTAATTAGTCTCAAATGTTTAGTTATTAATTTAGTCTAGAAAAGTTTATGTTAGGAGCTGAATTCAGAAAGTAGAAAGAGGCAAAACAATAAAACAAGAATAGTAGGCATTGGAGCCCTTGTAAAGGGCAAGCAAGATGTTAATCTCCAGACCTGATACAAAGTGTCTGAGATGAAAATTTTCTGAAGTGCAGGCAAGTCTGTACAGTTTATTTCACAAATTATGAAATACATTTCTAACATAACTTAGTTCATGTAATATATAGCAAACACAAATAGAAATAAGTCAATATACATGAAAGTTTATATAATATGATAAACTAAATTTCATCTAAGAAAGCATGTTTTTGACACAAGGTATGACTTTTTTTTTTTTTTTGATAAATGACAGAAAGTAAGACTTGGTATTTGCAATAGTCACTCACAGAAAATGAATTGTCCTTGTAATATGTATCATAGCAATATACCAACAACAGAAGACCATATCATGAAAGTTATTTCTCTAGACGCAAAGCCCAAAGTTGACTTCCCAGAGATTATACAATATCTGTCAATAGAGAGATGTTAATGAAGGTATATGCTACTTCACCTCATCACCAGGAGAGCAAACTGCAAGCACAGCTTGTAGGATACACTGTTTGGCTCCATTACTGACCAAAATCTGATCAGGTGTATAAGTCAGTCCATTCTCCTCTAACATTAGAGAACATACGTTAGAATCTTCATGGAAAACAAGCATCAAAAATCCAAAGCAGATAAGTAGTTTGAGCAATGCAAAATTTTATGCTTACAACACCAAGAACTAACCTTTAAGCTTATGACAAATAGCTTTCCGGAGCTCCAAAGTACCTGCATTTGGGGTGTACCTTGTGTAGCCCTCGCGGATTGCATTTATTCCAGCCTAAATTTAAATAAACAAAAAAAAATAATGTGGGAGAAAATAGAGAAACTACATGGAAACTACTAGTAATATTAATAAAAATGGAATATAAAAGAGAAGAGGAACAAACTAGACGTAAGTTATTAACAACCTCTGCAATTACAGCCGGGGTATCAAAATCAGGTTCTCCAGCCGCTAACCTTATAACCGGTACCCCAGCTTGTGCAAGTGCAGTTGCTTGGTCGGTTATAGCCACTGTCTTTGAGGGCTTAACAGAGTTTACTCTAGGGCTCAACGAGATGTCGATCTGCATTTTCTCGGGGCTGCACTCTGCTCTTACCACGGCAGACGTTTTAAATGGCTGCACGTGCAACCTTTGCCCTAAGGATCTATGAGGAGAATATAGAGAACATGAAACAGTCACATATGCAGCTTAGTGAAGAGAAAAAAGTATAAAAAGTACTAAGGCGAAGGATCAACAGCATAGTGGCCTATGAAGTGGTGTTTTGAGTTTACGTCAAATTTTCACAAAGAATTTCTTATAAACTTCTCAAACAAACGAATTCAACAAGGATTTCTACACAATAAAAATTGGACTTGATTGAAAGACTCATGTCTCATTTCCTCGTAACATAAACTAAATTCATGCTATAGTGAGAAAATTTATTTTCCAGAAAGGTATAACTTTGACTGTTTTGCTAAGTCAACCGATGCTAATAAAAACAGCACAAGAAATTAGAGAGGGTAGGAGAAAATTAAAGACAAACGAAGAAGGGGAAACTACCAAATGAAAGGATTTGGAGAGCAAAATTCATTCTAAAAGAAATATGAAAAGAAGAGTATAGAGTAATCAAAACGAGAAGTAAAATTGTGTGTGTGTGTGTGTGTGCGCGCGCGCGCGCGCGTGTGGGGGGAACATACTTTAAGGAGAGGCTGTGGAGATGAGAGGAGAAAGAGAGAGATCTGAAAGGTTCCCGATCGGAAGAAACTCCAAGAGGTCGATTTCGATGACGACGAGCTGGTGTGGGAGTAATGTTGGAAGAGCAGGAACCCTGAATCGAAGAACTAGCCATGGCGGGCGATCAATTGAGTTGCACTGCGCCGTCCTCTGATTTGTTGCGTTTAAAAAGGAAAGGAACAGAGAGAGAGAGAGAGAGACGGCGGGGTTGGTGGGAAAGAAAAATAGAGAAGAGAAGGGGTTTGTTGGTAATTGGTAAGAAGGGAAGAGGGATGTTAGGTACGTTGAAGAGCAAATTCCAATTCAAATACTGATCCTGTCCTCAGTACTCAGTCCTCACCAACAACCATGGAGATTAGAGAGAGACGGGATCTGCTCCTCACACTCGGGCGCCTCAGGATGTGCTTGTGAGGCGCGTGTCATCATGTCATCCAGCTTCGATATCTGTCCCATTTAGCAGTTTCGATTGGAGATGTACCCATTTTCCATCTTTCAGCCTCTAAGTTCTTACTCGAGTCTTCTTTGACACTCAACTACTCCAGGCCCAGGCTGGCAGGCTTGTACATTTTGGTGGGGTCTGGTGAGTGGTGATACGGCAGAACCTAACACGTGGTAAACGTTGTCGAGACTTGAAGGATCAAGACCATCATTGTAAGGTTTCCACGTAAGAAAGAGCCAACACAAAAATTAGCTCCACGATTGGAAGGTTTTCCACTATGCTACCGGAAACACATGATACCACCCAAATATGTACTTAAACCCCAAATTCTGATTAAGCAGTTCACCAAGGCCTCTAGGTGGTACTAAAGTAAAAGTGTTTTCAATCCGTTATTAGTCATTTAGCCTGGTCATTGGACCGGTCCCGGTCCCGGTCCGGGACAACGTATAACCTGTCTGACCGGGCGGTTGAATTATTAACCCATTAAATGGGTTTTTGGTTTTTTTTTTTTTAATGATGACATAAGTTTACTCCTTGACCCCGATATTTGACTGCTGAGGCGGCTGGATTTTAAAACACTGGTGGGATATGATGAATTTTGACAGCGACAGGCACATCTCAGCGTGCATTGAAAACATCTTCTATAATTGTCATGAACAAGGCTGGGATGGGCTGTGGGGTGTATGAGAGGAGCGCTACGTCGGGTGTCAATGCCAATTCGGACCTAATGGTTGATGTGTCCTGATCATCGTAATCCAAAGATAACTTAACACAAAGTTACAGCAAATAAACAGTAGAAGATAAACGGGAAAAAAGTGAAAAAAAAGGTTATATTAGATAAGGGCAACTTTTAGGCCCTAATATCAATAAAAATAATATATTTAATAAAATTTTAAAAATAAATTAACTTTTTAAAAATAATATAAAAGAAGCAAAATTACTATTTATCTTCTTTTTCTTTTTTAGATTATTCACCAGAGCCGCCCGCCACCGCCTCCGGCACATCTTCGACTGTCGTCTCCGCCTCTGGCTATTGTCTCCGACAGCTGCCTCCAATCTCCAACCATCGAGAAAGCATCGCTGATAGTCGGACACCGGTAAGTAAAAACATATCAAATTACCGGAAACCCTTCACTTAAGTAATTCGGTGGTGGAACAAGTACGTGTTGCCATGATTAAAAGAATGAACCACAGATCTTGAAGCAGGAACCTTGCCATTTCTTCACAACCCAACCAGATTGCAGATGGGACAATCTATAACCCAGAAAAAAGGAGCCAGAGTAAGCTTAAGAGATGGAGCCCCAATTGGAGCCTGCAACAGAAAGACAAAGGTAGTTAAAGGAAGAAAGATTTGAACAGAGGAAACAAAGAGAATCAGATCTATGAAGAGGCGGATTCCAGCTTGGTGAAAGGAATCCGATACATGATATTAGCAGAAAGGCAACTTGTTGGTGTTCGACTATCAGCGATGCTTTCTTGATTGTCGGAGACGACAGTCGAAGGCAGCTGTCGGAGATAGACAGTCGGAGACGTGCCGGAAGTAGCGGTGGGTGGCTTTGATGAATAATCTAAAGAAGAAGATGAAAAACAACTTTACCCCTTTTTTATATTATTTTTTAAAAAGTTAATTTATTTTTAAAATTTTATTAAATATATTACTTTTATTGATATTGGGGTCCAAAAATTATCCTTATCTGATATAACACCCCCCGAGGGCTGAAATTGAACATTATCCCCTCAGCAAACAGGCTACCTGCATTACCCTTTGAGGCTAGCAAATGAGCTGCTTCAATTTCATCTTTGGGAACAAATCAGGAGAGACCAGACATTAAGAGAGTAGTCAAAAGAATTCATATTAAGGACTATTTGTTTTTTCAGGAAAAGGAAGGGGAAAAGTTGATCAGCAAGAAAATAGATTCTGTTGACCAACTTTAATAGTTTCTGTTGACCAACCTTTTTGTATTCTGTTTTAGATAAATTGTGACCCATGTAGTAGAGTTATTTTTTTTAGGTCATCTCTCAAGTGTATAAGTAATTTTTCCATTTGAAGAAAAGTTTATAAAATATAATAGGATAAATTTATTCATTGTAACAATGGTGCACTTATTTTCAAGGTTTTTAAAATCGATTCAGAGAATAAACTGGTTAGGGGTCTGGTTCTTGGATTAAATGGTCCAATTATTCAAACCAAACGGTCAGCTCATTCTAACAAAAAAAAATTAAAAAAAACATAAAAAATTGTCAAAACCATTCAAACGATTAACCGCCCAAGTCAGTAGTTCGCTGACCAAAATCAACGGTTTTTCCGGTCTATTCTGGTTTTAAAAACCATACTTATTTCCCGCTGGATAAGTGCCCTTATTCAAATGTCTTGTTAAAAATGAATAGGTCCTAAAAGGTGTTAGGAAAAAAAACAGCATTCTTGTATAGCAAAGGACTTCAACAAATCAACAGAGATGACCTTGCAAGGGCCATATTTCGCAAACACAAAATTCCCAAATTCATTGTTAATCAAGAAACCAAAACCAGAGACTTAGAGTGATTGCCACCAATTTTAACTTTCACCAGCCAGGTTTCAAAACAATCGATGAAACTTTCCTATTGGAGCACAAAAAGTTTGTTGATTCTTGAAGTAAAATTGTTTTCACTTCACCAACGTGCCCACAGATAGAATAGTAGAGAGAGGAATAGGATGCACATTCCATTAAAAATAAAATCATTTCTCGCCTTCCATAAATTCCATAACAAAACAACATAGTATTTAGTAACAGAATCATCAGCAAAATTCAAGTGTTCCTCTTGGTCCAATCACCACTTCCACCATTTAGAAAAAGAGGGGGTTGTGTTTGCATTCCTAGAATATAGAGACTGAATTTGCAGCCAAACGAAGAAGCTTTGGCCTGGTCACAAGATAGAAGAGCATGAACGAGTTATACTTTCTGTAGCATTTCCACACAGAGGGTATATTGATTACTGTGACTAATACCTGGTTTACATGATTATGACTTCTTGATTGCAATGTGACTAATACCTCGTTTAAATAATTACGACTTAATTGCAATGCTATTAAGACAATACTTCAAATGAAGTGCTTTGAAACCTTTTAGAGACCAAATCTTCTTCCATTGTTGTTCAGAGTATGAATGAGCCCAAATAGTTATGGTTGTTTATCACATGCCCAAACATGTTCGAAGATAAACCAAGGGCATATATGTTTGCAACCAATGCCATTTTCTCAAAAAAGAAACAGCACCACATAGGAAATTCATTGCTAGGGAAAATGATGCCTTTTTGGATGGGCGTTTTTTTTTTAAAGACATTTTTTCAAGACACATCTTGGAAATTGAGAAAAACATAGCCTGAGAAATGCCTTTTCGGGCATTTTCTTGCTTTTATATCGTTGCTGGTAACTGTTTGTTAATGTGGCATTGAAAATGCCTAGGTGGCAGCAATGGTCCCAAACAAAAAAAAAAAAAGTCATTTTTCTGAGAAAACGACATATACCAATGCAACATCAGCATGGGAGAAACAACATTGGTTCCAAACATTACCCTAGTTATATTTAAGAACTAGCGGTGCAAGTTGGGTCAAGGTTTTTAAAATCGGACCAGATAGGGAACCATTTTGGAGTCCAGTTCTTAAGTTAAACGGTTCGACCATCTGGTCCAAGCGGACAGTCTGCTCTGACAGAAAAAAATCAAAAAAATTTAAAAAACAAAAATCATTGTCCGGATCAACAGTTCGATAACCCAATCAAAAGTTTATGGCCAAAAAACGGTTTTGGGGTAAAATGGAATCAATCAGATGACCAGTTCCCAGTTTTTCCGATACAACCGTCTAATCTAATATGGTTTTGAAAACCATGAAAACATCTCCCACTGAATTTTTTGCAAGAGATATAATCTCCTCCAAACCCGAGCCCAACCCTAGCCCAAACCATGTCTACTCCAAGCAATGAATCATTGACCCATTAAATTGGTTTGTGATGCTTTTGTATTATTTTGTGTTTTTTTTTAATTTCATTATAATGATGACATAGGTTTCTCTTGAACTCATGGGGCGCAAAATGGATTTTGGTTGTTTACCACAAGCCCAAGCAAGTTACTTTCGAAGATAAACCTACTTATACTTGATAACTTATCAAGTATAAGTAAGGGGGTGCAAGTCGGGTCAGGTTGAAGTCAACACTAACCGAAGGCAAGCTATGCAACCCCAACCCTGACCTTAACACCAGACCAATTTGAAGTTTTCAAGTTAGGATTGAGTTGAACTCGGGTTTGTCCAATTAGTCTATTTCCTTTTTCCATTTTTTTTTATTTTCTAGTTATCATGCTTTTGAAAATTTTTGCCTTTAAACTTATAATTATTGACATACATATAGATATTATATACTTAAATAAATGATTATATAATATTTATACATGATAAATCAGATTTGGGCTGGGTCAGGTTGGAAAAGACCTCAACCCTACTATGAAAATGGTAATTGGTGTTTGGTCCCATAAACAAATTAAATACACTTTTTATCCATGTGGTTAATTATTGAAATGTAACAATTGATAAATAGCAAATAATTAAAGGGTAAATTTCTTAAACAATGTTTATGGTTTAGCGAATTGACTAAATGCATCCTTACTGTTTGAAAATTGTCTAATGCTACCCTATTCCTACTGTTTCCGACAATTGACTAAGTTTTATTAGTACCGTTAAACATAGACAAAATGGATGAAATATCTATTTTATCCTTGAACTCAAACTTACAACCAGAAGTTAAATTTACCTTTTTGTCCCTCATTTTGATGCATATGTGGGAGTTCACTAGGGGTGAGCAAAAAAAACTGAAAAACCGAACCAACCGATAAACATGTTTTTCTATATATTTATGTATATTATATTTTATATACTATAAATTAATAAATACACATTATATATATAAATATATATTTATAATATATTATATATTATTTATTATTTTATATATTTTTTTATAATAAATATTATAAAGTAAAAAAAACCGAAAAACCGATGAACCAAACCATCAGTTAACCGAATCGATCAACCGATTAACCGACTGATTTCGATTCGATTCCGATTACCAGTTTTCCAAAACCCAGCACTACCAGTTCCGTTCAAGAAAATGGCCCACGGTTCGGGTAAGCACCCCTAGAGTTCACACAGTTCAAAACGCCCAAAGCACCGTCGTCATCGCCTGGACGGCGGTCGCTACAACTTACGAACGGCAGAGCTTTGGTGAGAGCACTAAGGACACAAAACCAGAAGGTAGTCTTTCCTTTCCCTCGCCATTACTCTCTATTTTTTCCCTCACTTGTAGAGGAAAAACAAAACTTCATTTCTTCGAGAAGTAGGGGTTTTTGAACTTTTAGAAGCTTTGTTCTTCACGGACAAGAGAAAAACAGAGTTACAGTGCTTGAAGCTTTGGTTTCTGTCATTTCTTACCTTTTAGAGAGAAAGGGTTGGAGCAAAGGTGGAAGCACCGGTCAAGGCAAGGGTCTGTAAACCCCTCCAGAGAGCTTTTCAATTAATAGGAAGAATCGTTGGGGTCAGGTTCAGCTTCGCCATCGTCATTTGCATTGACCCCCTCCGGCACCAGCACCTTCATGGCAAAATTGGCAGTAGGTTGGAGATCTCTGAACTTTCAAACTGGTGCCTAGATTTGTTGAGTATCGATCAAGTGATTAATATAAACAAGTTACTCGCAAATCCGCCTGCTTCGTATAGATTGAAACCCCAACTGTGCTTTCACTCGTATATCTAGCGCCGTCGACGGTTGAT